AAACACAGCAGACTGACGGAAGTACACCGTAGACGGAGCTAGTGGACACATAGGCCCGGCTAGCAGGCTGTTATGCTAAAGGCTAAACCAAGTATAAAGGCTTTCATTACCTTAAGAGACTGTGGCTTCATTCCAGATGTCTCTGTGACATTCGCTCTCTCGATAACAATCTAGACTAACATTAGCTCAGACTATAACTGACTACACAGCAGCAGGTAAGGGATTGCTGAAAGAAGCATGGCTCAGCCAATCAAGCAAGGGACTCCTATTAGCATGTTTTACACCATGTGTATGTAGCGTTATCTGGTGTGTTTGTGACCAGACTGTGAAACCAGTAGCTTGGAAAGAATTCCAGCTGGTATATCACCCACTACTACTGCCTTTCCACAAAATACTGGTGTTACAGATTTTTCTATGAACATTTTTAATGTTGCTTGTCAACTCACACTGGTGGCGTGTTGTTAAATTCCATCCACTGGTGCGCATGCATGTCAGAAATTGCTTTGTGGTATCGGTCAGAAGACATCAATGAGTGTTGGTAATCATTTAATGTAATGACTTTCTGTGAGGTAGCTTTTGGAGGCATTAGACTTCAGACGTCTGGTTTCTATGACCACCACTGTGAACAATTTTGACTTGGTTAGTCTTTTGAATGGAGCATTACACATCAAATCACTCTGAATTACTTTGCTTGCATTTTAACCATTTAATTATGCAGAAATTTAAAAGAAATAGGCAGAATATACATTTAAATGCTTTAGTATTGTAATGACTCTGATACACAAGATCAAGGCCAACAATAAAACTCAGCTCAGCCTCAATAATGCCCGGTGATATTTTGTCTTTTTTTTCAGTGTAGTCTCAGTGAGCTGCTCTGAGACATGCTAACCTCTCCTGTGCATTAGAGACAAAATTCTCTAAAGTGAGAGGGTCAGTGACCCACCCCTGGCTGTGCACTTATGCCACTTATCGCACAGCTCTCCCGCCAAATGATGTTTGGATCAGTGGGGGAAATATATAGGCCATAAAGGCACAAAAGACTGTCATAAAGCTTTGATTAAGGTGCGGGTTAAAAGACAGAGGCAGAGGAGGAGGCTGAGTTATGGTGGCGGATGGGGCCGCTGTTATTGTTCCCGTGACGGGGCTCTTAGCGCGGACGGCTCACTGTAAACAGCCTCCTTTCCCCTGGAGCAGACGGTCATTAATTGCTGCAGCCGTCCCAGACTCCTCCATCGAGCCTCCAGTCTCAGAAATCACCACGCTGCCACCAGTAGAGCCACTAAAACGTTAAAGGGCCATGACTCTGTCTCCCGCCTCCTGGGTGGGCCTCTTCTTCATTTTTACCTGCAAATGGCTGGGGTGTCAATTTAATGGTCATGATGAGGCACATGCCTATCGCCCCTGCTCTTGCACGTAGTGGTAAATTCTGCTCAAGTGTAGAAGTGTTATATAGCGAAGATTAATAGTTCTCAAGCCTTTTTTACCAGCTCTGATTCATTGTTCTGATGCTGAATGCTAAATAGTTCCATATTACTTTATGTTGTGGTGATGTCTGCCTTCTCTTTACGTACTACATACAGTCCTTTATGATAAAAGTATATATTAATACTACAGGAATTTCCAAAGGATTCCTATAAGAATCTTACAGTAAATTTGGGTTAATAGTTCTCCCGCCATTTTTTGCAGCTGTGATTCATTGTTCTGATATTGAATGCAGAAAATTGTGCCCTATTACTTCATATTGAAAGTAATATCCTTTCCTTAACCTTGTGCAAACCATACCTGTGCGTGTTAAAAAAAAGTGCTACAGACTGTTTTTTACATTATCAGGTTACAGCAGTATCACTGTTGCGGTGACCTTTGAGATCAGTATCAAAACTAGACAATGCACTATTGGTATTTAGATCATTGTGAAATATGAATAAGTTGTACTTTTTTTTTTATTTTATCAGCAGCAACGCCTACCATCAACATATTTTTACTGCATGGCCTATGTTATCAAATAAATATGAAATATGCAGATTATTTCAGTTTGTCTGCATATATGCTCTATATTCATATAGCATAGATATTAAGAGTAGGGAACACTTGGTCCATATACTTTTGGCCATATAGTGCATAATCATCATGCTTGTTGTTTTTGCAAGTATTGTAGTAATAGTCTTATTTTATTATTAAGATTTTGGTTGGAAACAAAAGAATTACATTCTTGAATTGCCTAATGGAAAATTATCTGACCAGGATTTTTTTCTCTAGGCATACACAGCCAAGCGACCTCGTCTATTGATTAGGAGTTCAGGAGCTGAACAGAACGCCCAACATGTCAGAGTAACCATTAACATAATGAGGAAGTGACAGTGGAATTAACCAAACATGTTGATTTCCAATGGGTGAGACCATTGGGACCAGAAGAAGGTCACTCTAGGCCTTCTGGAAGTACTGAATATGTCAAGGACTGCGAGTACGAGTGGTAGACTAAACAATATGTTTTATTCAGTTGCTACAAATGAAAAACACCGGCAGCAGCTCAATGCCAGGGCTCTGAAGAACTCACTGTAAAACTCCTACAAGGTAAAATGTATGTTAATATGTCTGTTCAAATGAAACATAAAATATCTTTTACAGGCTTCAAATGTCTGCATTTATTCTCAAATGGCCAAAAAATGTTCATATGAATAACCGTTAGCTTAGCACAAAGAAACAACTAAGATCCCATAGGGACACTGGCAGAAATGAGCATTATCATAGACAGATTCTTTCCTTGTGATGAACAATATCCTGAACAATATTCTTGCCTGTGAACAGAATAGGCATCGATAAGCTGTTAAAAAGCATTTCCTCTTCAGAAATTAAGAACTGGGCTGTTCTACGTTGTTACCTGCATCATATTACGTCTGCTTGGAAATAATCTCCGGGCAAAGAAGTCACAGCTTTGATTCTGTAACACCATCTTCTAAATCCAACACTTGCGGGCAGACATAATCCTGCCAATAATTTATTTACCCCTTGGCACTTCCATTATTTAGTATGAACTGAGACACTGGTGAGCCTGGCACAATTAGTCACGCTGGGTCTGCTGACAAAGGAACAAAACCAAAAGTGCCACAAGAGTTATAGTGTGTGTATGTTTAGCATAACTCATATTGGTTTGCTTTAGTTTGTCTAATAGACATGTGCACTAACTGGACACTTCATTAGATGCCCCTACCTCTCAGCTCTACCTTGCTGGACGTTGTTGCCCATCTGTTGATACATGTGTATTTTTGAGTGGTAGGCCACTCTCAACTTAGCAGTGACACTAACATGTGTAAAAACACTACCAACACTGTGGGTGATACACTTATATCAGCACCACAAACATGACCATGTTAGGGGTCCTGTGGTCAGAAACTGACGTATGATGAATGGGATAAAAGGTGAAAAATTATGCATAACAACAAATGGGCTACAATGTGTAATTGTACACCAATATACTGGACCTATAAGACAACTGGATCTATAAGGTAAGCCTTCCCAACAAAGTGGACTCCAAGTACATTCTCAGGCTCTAATAATGATTACTGATAAAGTCTTAGAAGATGGGATATGTGCACATCCAAAATATTTGGTAAGTTGCAGGTTAACATTGATATGACATACAAAAAAATAACGTCAAATAATAACACGCAATATAGCCAAGTAAAATTTATTGTTGCATCTGACTTCTCTCTCCATACTACATACATTCCCTGTTCATAAAGATCTTTAATAATACTACAGGAATTTCTACAGGATTCTTAATAGAATCTCATTGTAAATTTGGAAAATTATTAAGGTTTACTACAGAATATTATGCAAGTATTAAATATTACTAGAGTATTATAATAATAATTGGTAAACAGCAAAGACATTGTCTGAGCAGTATGACAAAACAAAGCACAGGAAGACTGTAGCTATACTGAGTGATGCCGGCCATCCACTCTTTGAATAGCACCAACTGCCAAAAAGATTCTCTATAAAAGATATTTTGTTCCAGTGGCAGTTGGTCAGCTGAACAAAATGAGACAAGTCTGATTGTGTGTTCTTTTGCATGACTGAGTGTATTTCTGTGTTTTATTTTTATGTTTTATTGTGTGAACTTGTTTTTATCATTGTGGTGAGACCAAAGAAAATATTTCTAGCTTTGGTTGGACAATAAAGTTTATTCTATTCTATTCTATTCTATTCTATTCTAAAAGACAGTAAATAAGGGATTTTATGTGGAGGTGACAGTATTGTGGCAGCTACCACTTGCTCCGGTTTGCAGAAAGGGCTTTAGAGGTGTGGTACACAAAACTACGCTGTGCGCTCCGCCTCCCCCTCCTTGAAGGGACGTGTTGTTGTTTTGTTGATGTTAATGTTGTTGTTGTTGAATTTGAGTGGTGTGTATGTGTTTGTGTTTTTATGTGTTGGGCTGTGGTGAGATAGTGGGTGGTTGTGTGTCTTTTTTGCTGGTGTAAATAAAAAAGCACTTCTCATGGCAAAAATAATGGCCTGTCCTGCATCTCCTTCTATGCCACAATATTATAGATTATCAAGGTGTTGTGCAGCTGTAGAGACAGCATTTAGCTTCTTATAGTATACTGTGGGTCATTTTTATATGGGGTGAGTTCTAATGGTACAAACATGGGCCTTAATATGAAGCCTTTTCAGTGTTTTTTATTCCTTTCACTGAATGTATTCCAAGTGAGCTGACATTTGTGATCTTTTGATTAATGTGTAATATCTTTAATCCTTCACTTTGACATCACTCCCTAACTGAGACCAGCCCCTTTTGCTTTAAAACATTTCTGTGACTTGCAGTCCTGCAAAAGTCTATAACCCAGCTTGAAGCCGGCCAGCTGTGTGTGTTTCTGTACTCCACCCTCCTCCCCCGGTCACGCCCACGCCTCGCTGGCACCGCCTCGTTTTGGCCAAGCCCCGCCTCTCCGAGCGGACCGCAATGATTTAGAAGTTCAGGAATCCCACGTGACGTCACCAGAGGGTGATGTAATGCTTCTCTAAATAGCTCGTATTGTAATCTCTCCTCAGTCCAACGTGGTTCCTTCAGAAAGGGCGCTGCATCTTCTCTGCACTTGTGTGGTAAGTCGTTTGGCTTCTGCTGAATCCAGATTTGTAGGTTTTCTGTTGCAAAAAAAGACAACAAAAAGAAGCTACAAGGAAAATAGCTACTCGCAGGTTGTGTGAACTTGTGCTCGTGCCGCTGGCGGTGATGGCCGTCCGGGCTGAAGCTCAAACGAGTGACAAGTTGCTTTTGTGCTGGTCGTCCTGCGGGGTTTGAGGTGCTCTGTCGGAATGTGTGGAGGAAAAGAAAGTCGTGCTTTCGTCTTTAGCTCAAGTCCGGAGTGTCAGTCAAGGAGTTAGCTGCATGTAACAGGTCTGGCCGTGTGTGTGTTCGCCTGAGGAGTTTCTGACTGAACTCCGCGCGCCGTGCTGCACGGTGAACGTTGCAGTAAGTTGCTACCTCGCTGCTCTGCCTCGCGAAGCTGTCACGCGCTTTGCTGTGGCGCGCAGAAGAAGACCCCGCTGAGCTCCGTCTTTCTCTCGCGTGCGCGCGCGCGTGTGTCTGTTTGTGTTTGTCCCGGGCTGCTTTCCTGCGCGCGCTTCTCTGCGAGCGTGACAGCAACACTGCACTGAGCCCCGCGGAGCCACATGCAACCGGTGCGCGCGGGTTTTGGGACATGACGCTCGCGCTGCCTCTTTCACTCACATGCACACGCTTCTTTGCTTCTGCTGCTGGCCTGTTTCCCCCCAGCAGCTTTGATAGGAGGCACGCTCTTTCTGCTGCCCCGTCCCGCAGGAGAGGCCCCCTCTGCACAGCCCGCACAGCATCTCACTCATATAAGGGAGAGAAAGCTGCAACAGGGATGATCAACAGGGCTAGTTTCAGTATACACTGCACTCAATATCACGTTTGAAAATTCTTTCTTTTTTTCAGTAAAAGCAAAGCTGTGCGCTGAAGCATTACGTCATGCTGCAGGCCAGTCCGTGTGTTTGATTAACCGCCGAGATACTGAAGGATTCAGGGGCTTTAGTGCTGACCAAGCACACTGGGGGGTTTAAAAAGCCTACAGGCTGCAAACGTGTATAATCTACGGCCACAAAGTCTCTGTAATGACATTTAGTAGCATGAACAAATTTCTTAGTACTTAAGAAATTCATTAATGCTATTAACACTCCCTAACAGCCTAACAGTAATAGCTGCTATTACTATTATTATTATTATTATTAGCAAAAAAACTTAAATTATCTGCAAATCCATAACAATAAAATAATGTAAAATGTATTATTATTAAGTTACTACATGTTAAAAATTAGGCCTGTTATGATGTAACTGTGTCAGGATTGAGCCATCATTCATAGAAATTGTAATTTATATATTTTTTTCTAAAACTATATTCTATATTCCAAAACATAAACAACCACAGAATAAAATATTCTCTTTGATAGCTACAAGTAATCTTTTGGCTTTTTGCTAGCTTATTCACTTGGTCTTTCTTGCTAGCAAAATAGTAATCAGTATTGCAGGTATTTGGCTTTAAAATAAATCGACTTAATATTTGATTTCCTAACTGATATTAACTAATGAAAAAGTTGTTTGTTTTTTTTTGTTTGAAAAATTGGTCATTATGTCAACAGTAATCATTACTTTCACACAAAATCAAAATATAATTTCCTAAATTGAAGACTTTTTGAAGAAAGTGTGAAATCAAAGCAAGACATCTTAGGATTGCCTTATGTCGTGGTGGGACTGGAAGTGTAACTACCTTCGGCAATAGAAGCGTCACATCCTTCAACTTTGTCACTGTAGCCGAAGGCAGCTCTCACACATTCTTCTTTCAGTTTTGGAGCTTTGGCTTAAAACTTTTCACTTCATAGGATGCAGTTGTGTTCAAATGAAGTACAATCAGTGTTAACAGCAGTGAATTATAAAGTCTGCCCTGTTTGCTCTGCAGACATTTGTGCAGATCACACCGTGCATACTGTTGGCTCCATGTATAAGCTTTAGATATGAGTTTTCTGCATTTCTGTAAGTTCATGTCCGAGGAGGTGCTATGATTGGCAATAGTTGGAGGTTGCCTTTGTGGGGCCCCTTCGTCTGTTCATTATGAGGGGTTCATGACATTCAGTGCATTGTCAATGTGAGGCTTATTCCTTGCCTCAGGCCCTGCGCTGATCCAACCTTGAACTTGTGCTGTCAAGGGCCCAGAGATCAGTGTGTGTGTATGTACGTGTGTGTTGGGGGGGACTGAATTGCAGCACAAGTTTGTGCTTGCAATAACCTCCGCTCGTCTCCTCCCTTGCCATACTGTTTGAATTCTCTGCTGAAGCTGGAGAGACATGAGTTCCTGATGAAACTGTACTCCGCTCCCCTAACCCTCATGTGCTAAAACACATCGGGACCCACTTACTGCGAAATGTAACCGAGTTTCCTCTGCTAAATGAAAACATATCACCAAAAGGAAAGTCAAGTGCCCCCTCTTACTCTGAAGGGTGCAGTTGAGCCGCCAACAACCGGACATCACATGCAGACCCATGCCGTCTGCTGAGGTCAAACTGTCTACACTCTCAAAAATAAAAGTTCCTAAAAGGTTCTTGGCTTGGACATGAGGTTCCAGAAAAAAAAAACTGAAGGTGATCTAGAACCTCACGAAATGTTAAAATATGTTTTCACATTCGAACATCTCATTTATCCTGTAATGTTTCATTATATGGTTACTGCCTGTCAGAAAAAAAAGACAAAACAAGCTAGTTATAATGGAACTGTTTCAGGATTTATCATTTGTATTAATTGTTTTTTGTCAATTTTAATGTCTTTTTAAAATCTCAGTCTTCATCAGTTTGTAGGTAATTCATTATTTTGTCTTTAACCTTGCCTTTTTGTTGCCCTTTACAACATGTGAAAATTTCATAACATATAGACCAATAGAATTACTTCACATAAAATTATATTAAAAGTTAAGACTGTTGTCTCCTTCTGCTGTAAAGTTACCATTTTGGAGATACAAGGTTTTGATCCGATAGCGAGAGGTTACTCTGAAAACATTGGGGTACGGTACTCGCGTATCTCATTTGCAAAAATGTTCCTTTAAAGAACTATCCATTGTTATGCCTACAATCCATTGTAGGGAACCCAAAGTGAACCTCCAAAGAACTTTTTGGCACATTTATTTTTAAGACGGTAAAGTGTGTAAAATTGTGGCTGCGAAAGGAGAACAAGCTCGTTCTTTTTGAGGCCGTATAAAATCAGCAAGGCACACAATCATACTCCGGCCTGAACAGCTGTGATGACAGGCTTCGGAGTGTATGCGGGACGTGCTTGGTTTGTGGTCACACACACGAGAGCGTGCATGCGGTGTGAGAAGAGTGTGTGTATGTGGAGTGGACCGGAGGGGTCTGATCAGGTTGCACCATGAGTTCTGCTGTTTAGGCCAGCAATGATATTTCAGCACCAGAATAACCAGCAAAGGCTCCTTTACATCACTTCTGAAAGCATCAAAGCTCATGCTGGAGTGCATGTCTGTATGTGTGTTGGGGGTATGTTGGGGGTGTGTTGGAGGTACAGGGGAGACACTGTAGTTCACCCGTCTCAAACTTCTCAGTTTAGTGTGTTCTCCTAACTCACATTTTTAACTGCCTAACAATTAGACAAATAGAGTAGAATTTGTTTTTTACTCAATTTACCCAGCTGGGGCTCTTTACATCAGGCCCACCAGGGCTTTTCTCCTCTTGAGCTCCTAGTTATGGATGGCAGTTTAAACTGGGAAAATTGAGTAAAAGACAAGTTGTATTTACCTAACTTAGACCCAGAATTAAAAATGTGAGTTAGAAGAACTTAGTGTCCTCAAGTTAACTTAAGAAAAGCAGTGTAATAAGTTATCTTAAAATTTTTAGTTGAGCTGTTTTTTTCATTTTCTATAAATTACCACAATACAGCTGCTCACATTCAAGCGGCTTCATGTATTTATGTACAGCCAAACATGCTAGACTTTCTCAGTATTAAGATGTAATTTTAGCCAGATTTTTCACAAGGCTTGTGATTAATTTATCAGCCAATTTATCAAACTGTCTGAGTCTAAGATTTCCAGGGTGAGCAAACAGGCTGGGCACAGTCTTGTGTGCCAGACTGATCTTAACCCCTTAAGCTTCTTTTTAAGTGCACATCATATACTTTTAAAAATAAAGGTGCCAGAAGATGTTTTTTGTGCAGTGCCACTGAAGCCCTTATAATGTTACATGGATGGTTCTTAAGATACCAGTTCTTTAGAGAATTATATGTGTGAGTGTGAAGATCCTTCTTAAAGTTTTAAAGAACATCCACATAATGCTATAGGAAGAATTCTTAAATTGGTATAGAACCTTGACGTTAGGTGTAAGTTATTTAAACCTTTAAAATGTTTTTCACACTCAGAAATCTGTTTTATAAATATGGTTCTTTAGGGAACCAAATGTGTTTATTTTATAGAATTGCTCAAATAACTTTTTGTGGCACCTTTTTTGTTAAGAGTCTAAGGCAGGGCTGCCCAAAGTGTGGCCCACATGGCTAAGTTGCCCGACCTTTATTTTGGCCTACAAGAAAGTTACCCTACAACCCAATGAGATATTAAATACATTTTTGTCCGATGTATCTTAATGAATTTTTATTTACCCTTCAAAATTGTATTTTTGAAGTTTTTACTAACAAAATACAAAAGTTTGAGCACCCCTGTTTTTTCTAAGTGAAAGTAAGTGACACATGCTCTACTGAGAACAGACTTAAATATGACATTTTTCTGTACACTTAAGTGCACTATTTCTTTTTTTATTTTCCTGGGTTTAACATATTGGGGAAAATATACATAAAATGTAAAATGTGCCACATTTGATGTTTTTTCCCTGTATGTTAAATTCAGCCAATAAACAGTAATTGTGCATTAATATATGCAGTTTGATCTCTGTAGAGGATGTGTTAACTTATTCTCACCTAGTGCATTAAAAAAGGACCATTTTAAGCTATGACAAGACAGAGGTTTAGGCTCAAGACAAGAGAAATGAAAAAGAAAGATGCAGAGACCACATGAGAGAGAGAAAGAAAGAGAAAGAATTCTTATTGTTGGCTCTCATCACTCTGGTTCTCTGTCAGAGGCACCCAGTCCAGACCAGACCAATGTGTCCCAGAAGGCTGGGTGTTGGGGCCTGGTCTGAGGGGTTCTGCCCAAAGGCCTGTCAGTAAGGAAAAACTGCTCTGGCTAACATAACGCCAAATTTGAATGTTTTGACTGCATGAGAGGAAACAGTTGGCTAGACCGATCAGGGAAAAAAAATCGCATGCAAATTGTGTATGAAAGCGTTCATGCAGTGGAACCCAAGTGCGTCTCCAGAGAGGGCTAACCTGAAGAGGTCTGAAGAGAGCTCTATGTGCCTCCTTTTTCATCTCTCAAAGCTCCTAACGTTTATTTTCCACGTATTTGGAAAGAGAAGTGTTTGTGAGCTGTCTAACCAGCGTGTCAATACACACCGTAGCCCACGGCCATTAGTCTGGCTTCACTGTTGTACATGGACTCAGGTCGGGCTTTCATGCACTATTAAGACGGCTACTCATTAGATCGCAGTACTGTTACTGACATAGAGTACCATTATAAAGTCTGAATTTCAGTCCTGCTAACCACCAAAATGACTTTTTGTGATGGGTTTTGACAATACTGTGTGAATAAGTGACATTATATCTTACACCATAGTGTGATAAATTCATATAAACATTCACCATTCCACATATGGTGGGATGGGCTACCTCAGCTCTACTCCAACATGAACTTGACCTCAGGATCTAATCATAGATATGTAGTCATTGAGTTACATAAGACAGCACAGGCACTAACTCAGCCAGTCAGTCAGAGTTACACACCAAGTGTCTTTAATATCATCATCTCTGGAAATAGAAGTAACCTCTGGAGCCCTGAAGCACATATGTTGGCGCTTATGTTCCACAGCCTCAGGGCCTGATCCCAAAACACGACAACTGTGGAAAACGGCCTGCAAACTAGCTCCCATCAACACCAGTGGAACAGCCCAGTTACACACTGCGTGAGGGAAACAGAATAGCTGGCATGCCATTCCATTGTCGGGCTGTCACTAGTGGCATTTAGCAGCATCATGACACTGAACAAGGGATCTCGCTGGAAAGAGAGATAGATATAGGGACACAAAGAGAGAGAGAGAGAGAGATTCTTCAGCATTGATGGGGGGAAATATATTGACTACTTGTAAGATGATTGCTAGAAATTGCTCAAAGTTTTGCCAGTGTTTTGAGACATATTTTTCCTCTATGTCCCACTCTATAAATTATTACTGCCCATCTGATGCTGTCTCTCTCATTATCACCCTAATGAATAGAGCCTCTAACATTTGCCATTATTAGCAGTCAGCCTCAAAACTGACCTCATCTCCACAGCTCGAGGCATGAGTGGTTGGATACTGAGTTGACAGCAGGGTTGAGGGGTCAAGAGAGCAGCTACTGAATGGCAGTTTGTTGACTTCTAGCCTTTGCTGCTATGGCCATGTTGTGCACTGGAGAGGGTAATTTACACCTTGCGCTGTGGTCAGCGGCAGCACCATGGAGACGCAGGGGCAGGGTGACACCTCAGGCCAGTAAATACACTCTCTTCCTTCTCTCAGCGCTATCCCAACATGAACTTAACCGCAACAGCTAAGGACAGCCGTTCTCAGGGCACAGGCAACTAAATACCTTGAGATTCCAACAAAGTCTTACCAGGCAGTTCGGAATATTACCAGCACACGATACAGATGCAACACAATGCTAAACTGAACATCTGCCACTGTGTCCTGCAGGCAAATCAGTTGTGGGTTCTCTTTCTGTGTCTTTACATCCAGGTTTATGAGGAGCCAGTGACAGTGATGAACTCCGAGCAGGAACGGCCGTTCGTGTGCAGCGCTCCAGGCTGCTCTCAGGTGAGTCCGACAAGACAATGGCAGAGATGAACGCATCGGTAACCCGAGAGAGTGTCTCTCAAAGACAAACGCTGCTGCACAGAAAACAGTGAAATGGTACCCTGCTAAGAAAACTCTTATCCCTCTGGGACCACCTTTACAAAAGATTTCCAAAAGCTTTCCAAAGAAAAAACATACTAAGAACTGTAAGACAAACACTAAGAAGTTCGTGAGAATGTTTTTAAATGCAGTTGTTAAAAGAAATTCTTGAAATTTGCTTAAGAAAGTCTTAATCTCATTATCTCATCAACTTCATCAACTACTACAGTGTCTAAATCATCAGAAGTTACAGTTTGAGAGGTTTACCTTGTCAGCTTTTTTCACCGTAAGACAAGTATGAGCGAACTGTAGATCTGATATTTAAAAAACATTTTTTTCCAGAACAGCACCAGTTCTTTTGCTAGTTATTAAAAGGGAATTCTGATTTAAAGTTTCTACATAACTAAATAATTGAACTGTAAACAAATTCATTCTGAGTCATTTGATGTAAAATGGTTTACTGTAGAGAAACTTATTGACTCAGATTTCTTTACAGTGGTGGTGACAGAAACCTGGGGTTGCAATGTCTACAACACAAATCTAGCTATTTTATTTATTATCCAAAACAACCAGGCCAGCATTTTGTCTCAAAACTATTGTAAAACAATGTCTCAGGCATCAGGCACTGTGTTCACAACCAGTTTATGTAGTAGCTCTCTGTGAAATAGCCTTAAGTGATTTTAAACTTTTTAGATGCCTTGTTCCTGTCATCACCACTGTGGGCAATTCTGACTCAGTACATTTCTTTAGAACAGAGGATTTCACATCAAACTACTCTGTATTACCTTGTTTACATCTAAACGAATTAATTATGCAGAATTTTTGAACAATCAGTGGTATTTCCCTCAAAGAAGAAGTGGTATTTTTTGAAGAATAACTATGTATTTTAACTTTGAGGTTAACAGTTAAAAACTCTACTGTATTTCTATAGGGGTTTGGATCATTATTTCTTTGCATAAAGAAAAATAATGAAATATAAACAAAAAGATGCCAGTGATTATTACTGTGATTTTTGTTTATTTGTGTATTGACTTTTGTAAAAGGCCTAAAAAATAGTTGAATTATTATATGAATTTAGCATTAGACCAATGTAATGGGATTGTAAGCTTTAAAGTCCTTGAGCATTAAAGGTTTTTCTAAACATTATCTACTGCACTTTGTCCTACAGACACTCTCATGCTATAGATGATAGTGCCAGATAAGAGCAAAGTGAAAACATCTGCCTTTTCTCAGACTGAATCAGCTATAAGTGAAAATGGACTTTTGCACAGTGACTAATCAAAGACCCTTTGCGAAGTGAAGTCTTAAACCACGCATGCTATAAACTTTCTGAACATATATATGAAAATATATTTTTCTAAATGATTATTTTTTAGAATCTGTACCATTTCAAGTTATTATAACAGCTTCTGCCAAACTATAAAAACAAACAAAGCCTGCTAGTTATTTTTAATCATGACTGAGACCACGAAGTGCTTTCGGATTGACTGTTTCTGTGTCCAACAGCGTTTCCCCACTGAGGACCATCTAATGATTCACCGCCACAAGCATGAAATGACCCTCAAATTCCCCTCTATCAAAAGCGACAACATGCTATCAGGTGAGAAGGGGCTATGACCCATCGCGTTCACAGATGGAGGCACACATACACACAAGAATTACTGCCTTCATTGAGGTTTTCCGGTGAACTATTTTTTACTTTTTTGTTCTCGAAACTATATCTAACTCTAACCCAAACCTTAGCCTCAATAACCAGAAGGAAGTCTCTGGCTCTTTTGGTTTTTCAATAGAAGGCTGAATTCTGCATAGAAATATGTATTAGACACTGACACAAGCGACATTTTGATGTTTTTCTGCCACGTATGAGATATTTTAGCCTTCATGAAGATATAAAGATAGCAGTATAATAGTGTGCACAAGTCAGAGAACATGCTTCGTTCTTGTAAATTCCGGTCAAACTGGCATTGAACGTAACAGAAATACCAAAAGTTATGTATGGTATATATATACATATATATATATATATATATATATATATATATAGTCTTTATTAAACCTCCCATTCTTTTCAAGAGACTCACTTTTTTCAAAGAAATCTGCAAGTTTCTTCCACACCTATGAATGTTCAGTCTTAGAAGTTAGTTGCATTTTCTGCTTCTCATAATCTAAATAATCCCAAACACATTCAATGTTGTTGAGGTCTGGACTCTGGTGTAAGCAGTCCATTGTTCTAAAAACATTAGCAGTTTTCAGCACTGTTTACAGTTTTGGTCTAGCAGGTCTTGCACAGTTGTTAAGAGTCCCATCTTCTCTGTATCTTTTAATAATTTTTAAATTTTAAATTAACCCCAGTTTTGGAAATTTTTTCAATTATTTCCTGTGACGTTTCCCTTCCTTATGCAAGTGGATTATCTTATATGTCCTCAAAAATATTTCCTGAAAAATAAAAAACATGTGCTTAATGGGCTATTTGAATTGAAATTAAATAAATGAAGGGTGGTCTCTGACTTTTGCCCAGTACAGTACATGATCACACCTGCATACACATGGATTCAAACACAGAGACCAGCTCTGTAGGAAATCTGAGGCTTGACTTGACGTCTGTCTTTGATTAGAAAGCATTAGGCTGGCCATTATGTTCTGGGAGTGTGTAGATGAAGTTTTAAACGCAGAACTATGTGGTTAAAATAATATTTGCGCTGCCCTCTAGCTCACTCCTCTAATCCCCCCTATCACTCGTGCACACTTGGCCCCATATCAATTAGAGGGCTGGCTGTCTCAGGACAAAACTAAATAAACCCCAAAACCACAATCGGTGTGATGAAAATGGGGAGAAATCCAGAGTGCAAATTTTGAGACAAATTCCACATCTGACTCCAACCATACACATATTACGCTATTTTAGCAGAAGAAATACAAACACTTGGGATGAGCGGTTCCCAACAGTTACCTTCTATACATTTTGGAATTTCTGAATTGTAATAGTGAATATTTGTCAGCAAAAAAAAAAGCATATATATATTTTTTTTGAGATTCGGCTTTACAATTCTGCCTGCATTTAAAGAGGAGTTCCAAAATTTCTACAAAATTAAATTATTAAATTATAAACAAAAGCATCTTGGGTGGCTTGGTGTAAAATGCTCTGTTCTTTACAAGAGTGTTGAGATAAGCTTTATTTCAATATTATTTAAAAACAGTTTTAAAAATCCATTCATGGTAAAAGATACATGCAAGGCATCGTAAAGCATAATAGTACCCAAAGAAAATATATATTTTTGGATTTACCATGATTTTACCTTTATTAAAATTATGTATTAAAATATATGTAGTTTCACTGGTTGTACTTGATAGTAAACAAAATAGCTATATTGGTGTTGTAGATATTGCAAGCCCTGGTTCCCATCACCACCACTGTGAAGAAATTTCCCTACAATTGACAATTTCTCATCGAAACAGTATAATAACTTTTTTAACATCTCAGTGATTAAATTTTATATTAAATTTTCCAAAAATTGTGAAAAATCAATTCCTAAAAGGAATTAAACTGAGTAAATGATATGAGGTGGTGTGAAAGGGTTGGATGGTGTGCCATTTGGGCTGCAGTGGAGTGTGTGTGTGTGTGTGTGTTTGTGTGTGTGTGTAGCAGCACAGTGATTCTCTCCTCTTCATTATTTACCCTTGTCAGGGTACCAGATCGTGTTTCTGGGCTGAGCAGGCCTGCAGCTTTAGGTTTCTCACTAGGAGCGCATTCTTTTACACTCTCTCACTCCATCTCTTCTCTTCAGTCACTCAGTCACTCACTCACACATTTCCTACATTTCCTCTCTTTACTCATTCACTCATTTTCTCACTCACTCACTTGCTCACTCGCTCACTTTTTCATTTACTCATTGACTCACTGAGTCATTCACTCACTGACATTTTCTCTCTTCTTGTTCACTCACTCATTCATTGACTCACTGAGTCATTCACTCACTGATGTGTTCACTCTAATGTTCACTCTCTCATTTGTTAACTCGCTGAGCCATTCATTCACTCACTCACTCACTCACTCACTTACTCATCTCACTCTTTCACTGATTCATACCTTCACTCACTCACTCACTCACTCACTGACTCACTCACTCACTCACATGTTCACTCGCTAATTTCCACACTCATTCATTCACTTTCTTGGTCACCTACTGACTCACTTTCTCTCTCACACTTACTCACTCTCTCCATCTCCCCTGTTCACTCACTCACTCACTCACTCACTCATTCAATCAATGACTCTTCATCACACACTTATTCCCTACCTCTCCTTTCAATACTCACTCACTTTCTCATCCACTTGTTCACTCATTCACTCATTAATTCACTCATTTATTCATTTACTCATTTACTCACTCATTCTCTCACTCCGTTTCCTCTGTTCACTCACTCACTCACTCACTCACACTTACTCACTTACTTACTCACACTCACTCACTCACTCACTCCATTTAGTCAGTCACCCATTCATTCACTTACTCATTACCTCACTCACATTCACTTACTAACTCATTTACTGACTCTCTCCCTCCCTTCCTTATTCCCTTCTTCCTTCCCTCTCTCATTCAGTTCCAGTTGCTCAGTCCTTCTCTCTCTAACACACCCACAGACAGATGAGCACAGACAAATAAACAACCAAAAATTCAAGCATACACCTCTTTGGGTTTGTCAAAGATGGCAATTTCTAACCATCATTAAAACCACACAACTTATTATCATATACTTTATCTTGCCCACAAAGAAAATTACAGTTTAAACCTAACCGCAAGTCAAGTGCTCACAGAGTTTGAGAATGGGTTTGGTGCCAAGATCACTGCTGGCTCTGAGAACCATAACATCTACGTTACTGTATGAAATGAGCATAGATTGTGAATTATATGGCTGCCTCCATAATGCTGAAAATATTTAAAGTATTATGATAAAGAATGTCAGAGAAAGGCAAATTAACCCATTGCACCTTCATACAAAACAAGTGTTGCTGAATGTTGCAATGTTTATAGACTATATATACTGTAGAGTATACAGGGGAATGTAAAGAAGTTCAAAAATATGCCTGTGCAAGGTCTGAGGGTTTTAGATCTTGTTTTTGCTTCATTCCCTGGAGGTGTAATAAACATTGGTAGTGATTTAATGCATCAATTTTGGAAGTTAGAATTGATTGTATTTGATTACAATAACTTTCAGTGAAGTATGCGCTCATGTTTTGGCCAAAGTTAAACTCTTGGGCTATTTTAATATGTAAATTTTTTTTTAAAAACTTGGTGTATTATCTTTATCATCACTTTCATGTTTTGAGCTTATTTTTAAAAAGAATTCTAACCTGTAATCAGATAATCAAATCAAAATAAGGTGAAATTTGAGATTTTATTGTATATTGAAACATTTCATAAACAATTGCAATGGAATGAAATTGTGAGGTCAGAGATTTACACTTCCGTTGTCCACAGACCAGACACCGACGCCGACGCGCTTCCTGAAGAACTGTGAGGAGGTGGGGCTGTTCAGTGAGCTCGACTGCTCCATCGAGCAGGAGTTCTGCAAGGCCCAAGAGGAGGAGGACAGCAAACAGGTCAGAGAGTGGGGCTGATCATGCAGCTACACCATGGGGCTCATCTCACATCAACCACTTTCATCAAACCCACACCTTACACACAGATATGTAATAGTCCACAGAGCAGGCACAGCATAAATTACACAGTTGAAGAAAGCACCTGAAGAGATGCCTCCACTTAGTATTTACTAGAGATGCACAGAATTCTCAGTCAGTACCGAACCCAATATTTGTCAGAGAATTTACAGAGAAATTTACCATTTATTTGCAGAGGTTTACAAATGCAGTAAACTTGATAAAATGCAGTTATTTTGGCACAGTAGGCCAGCGTCACCGAAACATTCTATCCATCCATTCATCCATCCATCCATCCATCCAACCATCCATCCAACCAATCTGTTTTTAATGGTTTATTATTTAATCATTTGTCAATCATTTTTTGTGTGGTGGGCCGATCTTATTATTAAGGGTCTAAGGGGTTTTTAAAAAAGTTGGTCACACTCTGAACTTGAAATACTTGACCAAATGTGTATCCAGTTGTTCCAAAGTCACAACCTTACTGACACACAGATGCACGCACATACTTTCATACATGCACACATAAATAAACACATTGCTGGAGGCAATGCCAGCCAACTTGCAAAGGCAGACAGCTTTATCAATATAGTCTGTCTTGGTCTGGAGCAGACAAAGACAGAGAGGTTTTTTTTCTTCACTAAATTAGATTCAGTGTGGCATTTAAACCACAGCATGCATCCCTCAAAGTCAACCATATTTCATCATCGTCTGTGTCTCTCAGAGCGAGAAGTGATTATTTTAATGTCTGTAAAATAATCGCACAGTCGTGGTCAGCCATTGTGTCTGCTTCACGCCGTAGTGTCTGTGGATGTGACTAGCTATAACTGGACCTGTCGTGGTCCCCTAATATGAGGCAGTCCATAGCTGTGCACTTTAAGACTGTCTTGAGCTTTGTTGGCCAGACTTGCTATAGATCAGCTGACGTCTGGGTGGTGTGAGGAGTTTACCTGTGTGGCTTACAGTTAGCACCCAATGCTAAGTCAGCAGTTAGCGGGTTGGAGCAGGATTTTGCTGAGGTGGAGCTATACAGTCTTAACTAAGATATTGCCCAAAGCTGAAGAGGGGAATTCTACATGCTTGTCTGGAATCCCCTAACCCAAAAGAGCAGGAAGAAGCTTTTCACAAAAGGTTTAAGAGCAGAACTTCTGTAAATAAACTGGAAGATCAAGTGTGCCTGGGCGAGCATTTCCAGGTTATTTTTTATTAATGTTCACTGGAACTTTTTTTCCAGGACATACAGTTTATTTTTATACATTGCTAAGCGGTGTTTCTTAATCCTGCTCCTGACTCACAGTACTGCACTGATACAACTGTTCCTCACCCCAGCACAGCTGACCAGCTCAGGACTCAATAATCAGCTAATGAGATGGGTCAGGTGTGTAGTTGAAACTGTGCAAGGCAATGGGTCTCCAGGAGCAGGGTTGTATAGCAAATAAAGGACAGCAGTGCTAAAAGTATTTTTAGTTGAAACCCACACTTTTAGTGCAGTTTAGACCTAAACTATTTTAAATTCAGGTTAGTGGTCTTCAAGTTTCAACCTGGAGTTTAGCTTAGTTTTGAGAAACAGTGCTGAGATTCAAAGAAGCAGATGCCCTCTTCCTCTCAGTGGGAGTGTCCCTAAGTGGAACACAGCTCTGCTGACTTCCCCATTCCCACTTCCACTTCTCAGACTGATACTATTGTGAGAAAACCTCCAAAAAGCGACTTCCTAGGAAAAGGGCAAAATATGTACGTGCAGTGTGTAATGTTTTGACCACAGCACTATGTATTTGTGTCATGTGTCATATAACAGAAATATGTTTGTATGTTGTTAATGAAAAATTATCTGCAGCAAATGGATTTGTAGGGATCAGAACAGTTGCCATCCATAATTCTTTAACATTTTTTGTACTACTGTCACTACTTTTTTTTATTTCTTTTAAAATTACCGTTGGTCAGGTGTTATTCAGTGCTGTACAATAACATCTTGGTACAGTATTTTGCCCATTATTTAACAACATGGTAATTACAGTTGTTTTTCTTATTTACAATTGAAGCAAGTACTAACTGATAATGCAATGTTATCACATTATCAAATGCACCACACTCATCTTTAGTGAAATGCACCCACACACTTTTAGTGAACATTAAACTATAAATAAAAGAGCACTTTTCATCAATATCAATTTATCAATAATCAAATATGAATCACAAATCGAAAGGAAGCAACATTGTAGGGGGCTCTGAACAGGGGTCATTAAACACTCACTTTATGGTCACATACAGTACTGTGCAAAGGTTTCAGGCACCTGAGAAAATTATATTTAGGGAGGTCTTTATTTGGGCAGTGAGCATTTTATTTGCTCTAAAATAACTTGTATTAGTGAAATGCAAATAACAGTAATACAATAAGTAGTGAATTTGTGTATGTTAATGTGTTTGCTTAACTGTACTGTTTCCAACCCTCTCCTTGTGGCAGTCGACTGTTATTTGTAATGTTGGTTAACCCATACTTTATTAAAGTAAATCAGGTGTGCTGGTGGTAGATAATGCATTTAAACATCTAAACGTTTAAAAAATTTATGCAATGTAATCAAGGAGAAGTTAGGAGACAAACCTTTGTCCTTTATGCAAGATCTTAAGAGTTGTTCTAACTCCCCTGCTATCAGCTCTTTTTGTAAACAAGACATTCTTGTCACTTTTTGCATAGTACTGTATTTCAAAATCCCCAAGGTCTTCCAGTAGCTCCAGTGGCTTTCATTATGAATGAATCAAATAACTATAAATTTGTCTGAAATAGTCTTGATATCTTGTGTTTGGTAGCATCTCATTTTCCAGTATTTTGTCTGTGGAGTTAGCTAACCACAGCTTTGTGACCTCATCTACAAACTTTCAGCACATGATATATTTGGCACACATTAAAATATTTCTCATTTGAGAACTTAGAACTAACTTAGACATGTTAGTTAGAAGTAACTTAGAAATGAATTGAGAGAATCTTTTTTATTTCAAGGTGTATTAATACTGACTAAGCACTATCACAAACAGGTTGATGTGCATCTTTTCTCTCTTCTCTGCAGAACATTGCTCTTCATGGGCAGGCAACCAGCCAGCACCAGCAATCACATGGCAGAATGGCCAACCATGAGAGCAGCATAGTGATACAGCAGGCCTTGCCTTCACCTCAGTCCAGCTCCGTCATCACTCAGGCACCCTCCACCAACAGACAGATCGGGTGAGTGCTAGACAACTTCATTCTCATCCCAAAAGCTCTAACGTTCTAATGCAGGAGGCTGAAACTGGGCAGTGATCATTTACTTGTTAGAATGCACAGGAAAAAAAAAAAACAAATTAACAAAAGTGTGGTGTCATTCAAAATTAATTATCTCCCTTTCAAAGCTCATTAAAACAAGTTTCTGTCAGAAATGCAGATTCTAAATTTCAATCTATGCCAAAAATTAGAAATAATTAGCATCTTACGTTTTACTTACGTCTTAATTACGTCTTACTTTTTTAGTATCTTAAAAAAGTAAGTAAGTAAACTTGCTGCAGTAAAAATTTGGAGGTGATTCAACTTCTAAAAATAAATTAACAGAGCAAAAAATCTGTGTCTTTTATTCTGTTAACTTACTATTTTAGGTTCAGAGAACTTTTAGTATTGAACTTGCAGCAAGTTGACTTACTTTTTAAGTTAAGGTACATTTTTTTACAGTGAAGATAAAGTGAGATATTTTATTTGAATTTATTCGAACATCTGACATTTTTTCACTTGTTTCAACATCAAGAAACATTTTATTTGCATATAGTACTTTCTTCCATGAAAAAACAATAACTTTATGAAGTTGAAAACATAAAGCATTCCTGTAACGCTTCTAACAAAGTTTTAAATTAGCAGGTTTGATGCTTGTTGTTGCTTGTTTCAGTGAGCAGTGAAAGAAATAATATTAAATTATACCTTTTTATTTAGTACACAAATGGATTCAACTTCATTATTGCTCATGTATTCATTTTAAACAATTACACACACACACACACGCACATATATATATATATATATATATATATATATATATATATGTGTGTGTGTGTGTGTGTGTGTGTGTGTGTGTGTGTGTGTGTGAGTGTGTCTTTTTATATATGTCTGGTAACTGGTCTTTCAACTAGTGGAATAAACAGACTAGTTACACAGGTGTGAGTTGGAGTTTACACAGCAGGTGCAATTGAAGGAGTTTAGTTTACTTACGCTGAGCTGTGCAGCTGAGTGCTTTGCTTTTTTTTTAAGATGGAACTTTTTTTTTCAGTGTGAATGGTGCTGTACTGTTAGTTTAGGGGCCAACTTTTCGCTGTTAACGACAAGTTGAATGTGTTGAATGTGTTTCTTTAAAGCTCCTTTAACGGCCAAAGTTGGACAAAATGCCTTTGTTACTCCAGACAGATGGAGAGATTATTGAAAAAATGTCAATATTTCATTTAAAAGACTCCATATGATATTGACGTTCTTGTGATAGGCTACAATGGAATATATTTTTATTAGACTCATCTGATCGCCATGGCAATAGCACGTTGTTCTGTGCTTCCTTGTGCATTGTTGAAGGGGTCAATCTCAGTTTATGTCATTTAAAACTAATGTGTGATCTCATTGTAACAGAGTGTTTTCCTTTTCTTACTGTGCCGCTGCTCTTTGTCCAGTACTCTGTGTTGGTGCATTGCTGTCTGTAATGTTGTGCATGGTGCTGGTGGGACAGTCTGTTTGTGTTTGTTTGGGGGGCTTGACTCTTATGCATTGTCTTCTACGGTGTGTGAGGTAATCGGAGCGCTGTGCCATGGTGTGTGCTGTGTGTGTGTGTCTTGTGTTAGCAGGCCATTGTCACACAGTCCTGCATGTCAGAGGGTCTCCCCAGGGACGGGATTAGGTCACTGTGAAGATGTTAAGCATTTCACACACATTCACAATACACACAGACACAGTCATGTCGACTAGCCAGTTGAGAAATGAGAGGTTTTCACAGAATAAAAACATTCTGCCTTTTTGAAATGTATTATCTGGAGAATATAGTTAATCAGCTTGGCCAAGGGTTAGATGTCTCTGAGCGGCATTCCTCAAAGAGTCAAAGAATGCAGCATTCATTTTGAGCTTAGGCACTTTGAAAGCTCCTGATTTTCTCAGCATATTTCTTAAACTCATTGTAACTGAAGTGTTAAGAAGTGGAAGTGAAGCAAGGGACAACAATGTCCTGACTTTGGAGGAAAACAAGAGAAACAGGGATAACCTACTGGAATGTAAAGTGCTTTAAAACAAATCTCAGCGCTGAATCTTTTTTTAAACTGAAAAGGCAAAACTATTTCTTTTTGGTCACTGAAGTTCAAGTTGGGGTTAGGTTTCTTATGAAATATAGATACTTGTAGTCATGTAATACATATGGGACATATTATTCTCATTTATGGGTAGTTACAAATAATACATAAGGGACATATTATTACATGTTAGTAAAATTGTATCTTTTTAGGAAAGGAAAAAAATTGAAAGGGGAATTCCACCAATCTTCATTCAGATGTAAACAAAGTCATTGTTATCAAATATACCAAGTCAGTATTGTTCACAGAGGCAGTGATTGAAGTCTGAACAGTTTGATGACTCTAAGAGTTATCTCACATGAAGTTATTACACTAAGTGGTTACAGTTACATTGTCTGATGCCTGGGACATTGTTTTATGATGGTCTTAAGATTGGATTTTAGTTTAAAACATATTTTTAAAATTCAGTTCATGGCAGAGCAGTACAGGCAGAGTGCTGTAAGGCAGAATTTGTCCCCTAAAAAAACTTTTAACACTATTTTAACACTATTTTACCCTTTTTTCAACATTACATATAAAACCTCAGAAGACATGTGTAGGTTCACTGTTCAGTGTTCGTAAGTTCCCCCACAATGTACCATTTTACATCAAACTACTCTAAATTACCTTGTTTGAATCTCAGGGACTATATGTAGAAACTCTTAATTTTAAAAATAAAAAAAATATATATTAATAATTTAAAAATAATGTAATTAGATTTTTTTCCAAGTAATTTTAAGTTTTAGCCTTTTTTATTTATGCAATTAATTTATTTGTATGGCTGTATTTTCATACAGTAAATTAAATTCAATAGAATTAACAAAATATACAAGAGATATACAAGAATTTATTTATTTATCTCTCTCTCTCTCTCTCTCTCTCTCTCTATCTATCTATCTATCTATCTATATATATATATATATATATATATATAGTGTTTTTCTGATATGCTTACAGCCTGGATAAATAGCTTTTAAATTCAAATTGTCTCAGGTGCCTACATATATGTATGTAATACAAATATGCAACAGTATTGTATAAAAACAAGTGTGTGTGTGTGTGTGCATGTGTGTCTCTCAGTGGCCTGGGCTGTTGAGGGGTCTGCGTCGTGTGGCCAGCTCGGGTGTGTCCCACACTTATGACATCAGTAGTGCTCCTCTAGTGGGGATATCGACTTTTTGGGGCTGACGCCCTTCTTGCGCAAGCACACTCTCCACACTGCTGATCTCTCTCTCCTTCTCTATGTCCCTCTCTTTCACTCTGTGCGTCAGAATATACCCTGTCTGCAACATAATCATCACCTGAGAGCACACACGCACACACGCAAACACACAAATAATGTGCGGCAGGAAAAGCACAGTGTCATTTCCAGCTCAGTGTGTGTGGTTTAGTGTTTTTGAGTGGGATTAGAAGGGCAGGACTGATGCAGTGGAGGTGAGGCAGTTTTATTTTGTTTTTTTCCTTGACATAGAATAGCAAATAGTAAATTCTCAAATTTCATAATTCATTATACAGCTTTCTTGCTCTCTACTGATTATTAAAAATCTGTGAAGTTGCAGAATTAGCATATAAGAATAATTGTATGCCTTTATCTGCAACCTAAGTTGTTTCATATTATTAAAAAACATTGATTCCAAACTTTTGAATTGTGATTCTGAATGATTCACTGTCAGTTGCAGTGCTTCACATTAACAGCAAGCATTTGATTCACCTACAGTACTTGTGGCTCCCTTTAAACACAGCAATGAACAAAGTCTGTACAGATTTAAAGTGCGTCAAAACAGCCAAGGTAAAACTGTTTTCATTACCAGGATAACAATTTTTTTTTTCAGCATTCAGTGTACTAGTGTGGCCCCTGAAGCACTGTGGCTGTACATATATGTCAAACAGGCTGTTCTCCTCCATCTTTACTGCTCCCAAAGAATCACTGTCACACACACTCACAAACACACACGGTCTGGGGGAGGGTCGGAGTTACAGTTACAGTGATTGTCATGCATGTGTGTTGCAGTGTGTCGGGCCGTTTTGCGAGGTTAGAGGAGAGCACAATGTGTTCTCTATGTCAGTGTCGAGACATCACGGGGGCAGATGCCCAGATGGGACAGCTTGTGAATATTGGATGGGAGGTCTGTCAGTCAGCTTGATTGACAGGCCGACACTGGCTTTTGTTCACTGCCTGAGATGGAATTTCACCCAGAGAAAAGAACAGAGAGAGAGAGAGAGAAAGAGAAAGAAATCAGTCACAACAGCAATAAAAATGCTGTTTGTTAGCTCCATTCTAATGTACAACTTAATTCAAGATTCACATCTGCCTCCTCATTCACTTGCTTTAGACACATAATAATAATATTACAAGCTATAATTTAAGTCCCAAGGAAATAATTAAGTTAGTCTCTGACTGCTTTGTGGAAATGAAAATCCTCTGGATACTCTCATAATGTTATGGACCTTTTAACCCAAACCTGGAGGCCCTGTATGTGGGCCCACATGTACAGCCAGGTCCATAAGTATTTGGACAGTGACACAATTTATGTAACTTTGCCTCTTTACACCACCACAATGGATTAGAAATGAAGCAATCAAAGTGTGACTGAAGTGTAGACTTTCAATTTTAATTCAAGGGGTTTAAAAACATGTTGCATTAACCGTTTAGGAATTACAGACATTTTGTACGTTGTACCTTTCACAGGCTCAAAAGTAATGGGACAGTTGACTAATAAGCAGTTACAGAGTCAGATGTGGCCTGTTCCCTCATTATTTCATGACAAATTAAAGAGATAAAACATGATTCCAAGTGTTGAATATGCATTTAGCAGGTGTTCATGGGAACACTCAGTATGCCATCCAAAGAGGTATTGATGCAAGTGAAGGGGTTCATCATTAGGCTGAAAAAACAAAACG